CAATTAGAGCCCAAGTTAACAGCATTAAACTCTTACATGGTGTCACTGAGTCAAAATTACAACTCAGTTAATACCTCATAAAATGGTCAGAGTTAATGATTGTGCAAAGAGACAGAGTCATAATGTTACCCATAACATTAAAATAAGAAGCCAGGGTTACCTCACTGCACATGGGCAGGACCCTGTAAGTCCCAGTGAGTAAACACTAATAATAGCTTCCATTAAGCCACTCATGTGGTGGTGTGGGCCAGGCCTGTGGGGGCCATTAAAAATTCTGCAACACAAGGCGTCCCCTGCCAGACCCAAGCACAAGTGTTATGACACTGGTGATGGCAGCACAGTGAGGTGATAACAGGGACTCCTGGAAACAAAGAGCCAGAGGGACAAGCAATTAGAGAGGATAATAAAAGCACCTACTGTAAAATGCAGAAGGGAAAAAAATTCTTCCAGTAAATGGTGGATTAGAGTTTTCATTTGGAACAGGACTAGGCTGTTTTTTTTTTTTTTTTTCGTTTTTTTTTTTTTCTATGTTGAACACTTTTCACTTTTGCAAAATTTTACACCTTTCAAACATTTCCCATTTTGTTACAGTACAACCAGCAACTTAAAATTATCTTATTAGAAGTTCAGGCTTTGAACATTATTGGTTTGCTAAAAGCCATCAGGGCACACAGCAAGCATAATGAAAAATGTGGCTGTCAAAAAAACTAAACCCTTTTGTCTTAAACGCTATAAGGAGGAAGTCATACCCATGGTGGGACTACAAAGGAGAATTGAACTACAGCTTAAAGATACAGCCAAAGTACAATACAGTGATTTAGATCAATTATGTTTATGTGGTAGAATAATCACTTCAAAGTTCAGACCTAAATTCTACTGGGAGATTGTAATACAATTTAAAATTTATCATATATCCTCATCTAATCTGTGGGACCTTCTTGACATCACTAATAAAAGAGTCAGAATATAGCTGCATGCCACAGATTTAGAGTAAGAATTTTTTTCCAATTGTAATCAAATCAAGGATATTTTTTCCTTAATTTAACTAATGGGCACTACAACATGTGTTGACCGATCTGCTAGAATGTCAAAAGAAAACATAAAAATTTGCATTGTAATGTGACAAATTTTCAAAAACTTGAAAGTTTATTTATATTTTTACAAGCCTCCTTTTTGGGGGTGGATTGTTGATAGACACAAAAGAAAGCAGTACAAACCACGTCCTGTATTTTCCTAAATAAAGTTTAAAAAATAGAATATTGACAAACAGTCCGAAAGTAAATACCTACATGTAAAAAGAAAATTTCATAAAAATCGGAAGGGGTATTCTCAGTGACAAAGACCCTCAGCCCCTCCACTGGAGATTTTCCTTGTTCTCTTCTACCATCGTTCAAATTCCTCCCATTCCCTCCTCCTCTTAATGCCCTTACTAAACATGCACTCCTGGTTTTAATCTCACAGCAACACGTTTGTCTCACTACACAGACAGGACTCAAATCACTCCCTTCCATCCTCCCTCACATGCCCCCTTCTATTCTTCTGGCCACTTCTCTCTCATGACAGGTACCTTTCAGTTGGATAATCATTGCTTAACTAGCCATTTTCCAGTTCTGCTCTCTATTGAAAGCTAACCATGTAGAAAAGGCAGGGCCTTGTAGGAATGGCTGCTAATGGAGCAACAGACAAGTCTTCCCCATTTTGTCAGGAGGAGCTAAGCTGGAGAGCCTCTTATCAGCGAGCCACAGTCTCAAATTTTTCACCAAATTAGCGTTTCCTTAACACCCCATTCTTCAGTTCACATGTTTTGCCTGCCATTGCTCATAGGTGTGCACAGCTTCTTCTCGACCTTCGAATTTTTGGAGAGAAATCCGAATATTGACTTTCTCAGAGAAGTAATGATGTTTTAGCTTATTCACACTGTATTTCACAAAACAGGGAAATATTTTCTGTTTCCTTTTCTTGTCTGTACTCAAAAAAGAACAAAAAAATATATCTATATATCTAATTCATTAAGATTACAAAATATATAGAGTTTTAAAATATCTAAACAATATCAGTCATCATTGTTTCTTCGCCTTCAACCAGCATAAATTAATGCAACTTCATCTAAATGTCATAACTTAGCACTGCTAAGGCCTTATTTAAGTAGGTTTGCATAATAAAGGTCTCAAAGGTACAATCACTGTATTGTTCAAATAAATAAAACAGAAGAAGCAGAAGTAATTGAAAATAAGGGACAGAGCAGTCTTTACTTCTTAACAAGTTCAATCATTCAGTGTTTACAGCTTAATGCAACATATTCTAAGTTTCTTGTGGATACTCTGATCTCTTCTGACATCATCTATTGGTGTAACAGCATCAGAGTGAATAACTTTAAACACTTTAACAAGATGGTAAAGAAGGCCGGCTCTGTTCTAGGAACATCTGGAGAACTTCTGGAGATGATTTTATAAAGAAGAATTCTTCATAAAATGAAGAAGAGTAGAGAACAGCGGCCCTCCTCTTCAGAAGACTTTTTAACCCCATCAGAGTGTCTTCTCTAAAGGCCTTCTCCACATCCAGTGCAAAAAAACATAACAGAAGATCTTCCTGCCAACAGCTATCAGCATCTTCAACCACTCAAAGAAAAGAGCTGGTGACTTACGACAACATTTGATCTCTATTTAGAAATGATAAGCGAATTCTGAATTGAATTTTAATTATTAAAAATCCTCAATTTAAAACTAAATTCTTTAATGTTTTTGACAAATAAAATGTATATATTTATAATCTTTTTTTTAATGCACCAGGCTCATTTAGTGGGTAAATGCTGTTATAGAAAGATTTTGTATTTGCTGCTGTGCAGATTAACCCTTTATACACATCCCTCCATTTTTTACCCCATAAGACTAATAGCGACACTGAGAGAACTAGTATCTATTTGCCGCTATGTGCGAGAGCTTGGTCAGTCACCAGTCCCTTCCAAGTATTCAACACCTCTGGCCTTACCCACTACGATAACAGCTTTTTTCACACCAGAGCTGTCCCAGTAAATTAGCAGGTATGATACTAGGCCTTGACTTAGTAAATTCTTGGGCCAGTTTCACCTGGTAAATAATCGAGCCAGTCACGGTCAGAGAAACAGAACTACTCTGACAAACAGGCCGATCTCCAACATCTATAAACAAAGGTGTTGGTGGCAGCAGCACAGTTGATATTTCACTCCAGGGTGGTATCACAACCAAACAGGAACAGACGAGACGGGTTCTAAGACTCACCTATGGGAATAATTTCAGAGCAATCCATCTTTCCACAGTTTTCCCTCTATCCCTACATTTTCCATAATCTTTCCAACCAACAAACTGACAACAAAACCTTGGCGAAGCTGAAATTATATTCTGGAACCAACAGGTGTTAGTTTAACTTGATTCCTCCCATCAGTGTTGTCTTATAAACTAACATATCACACCCTAAAAACTAAGGATGTATGATATATTGATAGTAATAATATTGGTTGGTCATTTCTAGCATATCTGTATCACCAAATCATTGAAAATTGGGCCAATATCAATAATGGATATACATTTCCATGAAGTTTATTTTTTCTGTTTCAGCTCATAGATGGGAGGGGATCGGCCATGTGGTATCTATTTGGTCAGGTGGCGGTAATCATTAATCATAGCTTTTGAATCAAGCAGAGAAACAGTTTTATCCAATAATTCAATAAATATATTACATATGGTATTGGGGAAAATGTTAATAATAATGGCAATATCAATATTAGATATAAGCTCAGATTTTGATATTGATGCATCTTTATATAGAATATTTTGCTCTTTAACTCAACTAAGCATTATCTATGTTACAGTGGTAAATGTAAACAGGCTAAGACCTCCAGCTCCATCAACCTGCCTGTCAGTTGTGTAGTGTCATTGAAAATGTAACATTTCTACGCTTTCCCAAGTCTCTTGGGAATTGTCTCAAAACAGTGTGCAGCTTTTGTCAGGTTAACCTTCTATGGTTTAATAATTAATAATTATCCCTTTAGTTATCATTGCAATTGTACATCAGAATAAAATCTGCCCTTTGAATTTAACCCATCCCTTAGCGAGCATTGTGCAGGTTACACCACCTGAGGATCATTCCCTTTCATTTCTAGTTGGTCTTCTACAGAGTACCTTCCATAATATCCTATCTAGCGGTCTAACATTTATTTGTAATTCCCTGGTCTTTTTAAATTTGATCTTGTATTTATTTCGTCTCCCTTCGTTTTGAGTTAAAACATTGAATCAGTGTGTGTCTTGGAATCAAGAGCCACACTTGCTTCTTTTTTTCCCCCTACATATTCCCAAATGTCCCTACATATCCTGCAATCCATGCATGGACACAATTAAAATGCAATCTCCCCGGTGCACCTCTCTCATTCCCATATGTTTATGAGTGGTAAAGCTGTTGGGAAAGAGAAGTGTTAACCTCCGCTCCAAACCGCAGGCAGAAGGGCTGCATTCCTGCCTGAGTACTCAACGCGCTGTTTATCTGCATCCATGCACTCTGTCACCATGGCAACTCAAACCAAATACACTGGCCTGTTTAACTGTGTTTAATTTTTTCCTCCCTTTTTTTGATTTCATCACTGGGCTCCCATGCTCACTCTCAGTAAGATAAACAGAGAGAGGAGAGCCCGCACTCAGCCAAGCCCACTAGAGTTTATTTTGAGTCTCCGCCCGGTTCGGTCCATGACGATGTTTCGAAATCCTCTCCTCTCTCTTTTTTTCACAGCTTGAAAACTGGAAAGCTCTCAGTTTTTTTTCAAGTTTTTTTTTTCCTTAGGCAGAAAAGAGCTGTGGTTTGAGTTGGCCCGACTCACATGAGATACGACGCCCTAAATAGTTTCAGTGGAGCGTGTTCACTACGCAGCTTACGACATGTCAAACTCAGAGACTTGACTTCAGTCTTTAAAAAAAGAGTGGTCTTTTGGGAGCAGAGAATATTCATTATTTATCTGTTTACATACTGTCATCACTACCAAAGTAAACATTTTTTTCCTCATTTCTGACAGCCCACATGCAGTCACACACAAACTATCATCTCCAGGATGTCCGTCGATGGCAGCGAGATGAGCCCTAAAACTCACATTAACGGCAGAGCATGTAAGACAACACTTTGTTCTCTTAATTAGCACTTCTTTTCCTCCATTCAGCTGGTGTTCCAGTGGTTGACTGTTCCTTTATTAGGCAGGATTCCATCTCCAGCTTTCCAATAGGCACTTAACTCCTGCCTAATAGAGGATTTTCCCACACTTCCTCTGACAAGCCATTCAACTGCGAAGAGTTAATTTGTTTCTAATGCTTGGCTAATGGAGGATTCTGATGGCAGGAATTGAGTTTTTTTTTTTTTTAGGTGGGAGGGGGCGGCTCTCATTGGTTTTTCACAACCTGAATGCAGTCTGAAAGATTGCTTTTCTATAACATTCTTTAAAGCCAGTTTACTCCCAATTCATACAAACTGGACAAAGAGGGAAGTGGAAGTAAATAAAAAAGAAAATATGGTGTCCATAAATTCACTCTGGTAACTCAAATTAGACTTTTAGAGTTATTAGCGTCTCTTCTGGCGGCTGCATTTTAAGGGAAGATGGGGACTCTCCTGCAATGGTGCATACATAGTAGACCTTTTTTTCGACTGTCAAAGAAATGCTCTTTCGGACTATCTCAGCCTAGCAGTGTCCAGTCAGTTGGTGCCTGATTGACAGCCTGTGGCACTATCAACTGTCCTGCTGCACAGCAGGCGTGTCAGGGAGGGAGAGCAGAGGCGGAGGGTTACGACGAAAGCATAGCCAGGCCAAGGGAAAGGGATGAGGCTCAGCAATGGCTATCTGGAAGCAGCCCAAATTTGGTTCTTCTAATCAATCTAATTCCGTCTGCAAACTCTAGCCTTCTTTCTCAGACATTTTGCTGTGTAAAGATAACCTTATCTTAACCTGCCACATCCTTTACAATTAGCACTTTCTCTGTGGGTAGACACAAAACTCTCTGAGATCCACACTGAGGCCAGCTGTCTTCTTTGCACTTGCACAAATACTAAACGGGGAATAGCCTGTTGTAAAAATGGCAATAGTAATATTACTTTTCAGCAATAAATATTGTCTTGATATATTACTGGACTTTTTCATTTTGACACATTATAACCACAAACTTAATATATCATATAGGAGATTTATGATATTCAAAAACACACATTTGGGAAGCGAAAAAGAGGAAGACCTTTAAAAACAATTATAATAATATTCCTAAAATTGTCGATTGGATTAGATTTTAGTTTCTTCTACTGATATTTATTTATTGACAGGACGGTGTGTTCAGGTCGATGTAATGTGGGATATTTTTGTGAGAAATCTGGTTTTGCACTTAGTAAAGATTTTAAATTATGAAATGTAGCTTTCTGGCCTGTTTCCCTTACATGGCTTGTTGCAAAGAGTATTATAATGATTTTCTCCCACCAGTGGTTTTATTTTCCTTGCCACTTTTCCATAAATGATTTGCCACATGCACAACTAAAAGTCCTGTCTTACATTATCCTCTCTGCAGGTCCTCCAGAGTTACCCTGGATCCTTTGGCTGCTTCTTTGTATAATGCTCTCCTTGTGTCACGCCTGTCAGTTAAAATCAACGGCCAAGTTTTGGTAGGTTTGCAGCTGTGTTATGTTCTTCCCATTTTTAGATGATGGACTGAACACTAATTACTGAAATGCCATAAAGTTTGCAAGATTTAGTTTATAACCTGACTTCAAACTTCCACACATCTTTGCTGAAATCCTTGCTCTTCATGAAGCTGTTTGTTTACTAGTGTTCTCCAACAACCCTCTGAGGTCTTCAAAAAACAGCAAATTAATACTTCAGTTAAACTGTACATGGATCCCATTTACTAATTAGGTAACTTCTAAAGGTAATCAGTTGATATTTTTGTTCAGAGGTACTGTATCAGAATTAGAGATACTACACGACGCATTTTTTATATTTATATTTCATTTTTTATATTTTCAGTTTAGTTTTGTAGCTTCGGACATGCATTGAATTAAATTAAATGAAATGTGTAACCATAAGATGAAAAAAAGGGAAATATGTAAAAAAGAAAAAAAACTGCTCTTGAGTATAGGCACAGACTTATTTATTGTAAAGGAGCAGGTGTGTCAGATTTTGAAGGGTACTTATATGAAATCATGTTTCCATGTCTTTTACTTTGTCTAATTTCTTCAATAAAAGTCCATTACAGCTGTCAAACACTTCTTATGGTCTGGGAATTCAAGTGCATCCGTTGGGATGATGCGTGACAACAGCGTGAAAAGGCATGCTCAGCTTATACTTTACACCTGTGTTCTGGAAGAGCAAGCAACATTGCAAAGCATCAAAAACCAGTGACAGATATTCATCTGAGCATTTTAGGAGGAAAGCAGGTAGAAGACAGCAGTGGGTAAAGGGGGTCCAAAGTGATGTGGACTCCTGTTATATATAAAATGTAAACTCAAAGCTGGTAAAGATTACTTTTATTAGCACGCAGAATCACAGAGTGTCTGTGATTCTCACTACAATAAAGAGGATCCAGGTCTCGACTTACTGGGAGAAAAAACAAACAGAAAAGCCTGACAAGAACATAAACATTAAAAAAAATCTGTTTATTTCATTGGTATCAGAGAGTAATCTTCTCTTGTGTTACCATTTAAACAGCCACATTATACACACTCTTCAATTCTGGTTACATGATAAACCAATTCAGTATAGTATGTCATTTTGAAGTGGGAGGAAAATGGTGTTTTTGATGTGTAAAGTTTTACTCTGATATCCTTTGTGATTTTGCTGCGTGTAATTAATTCACAAATGAAACATAAATGCATTCAGTGAAGTTCTCAGGGGTTTGTTAGACAATAATGATTATACATCAACTAACAAACAGGTTTCTGGTTGAAAAGCAATACCCTAAGTTTTCAAAATATCACAGAACAAATTGCCATTCTTCCATTTCTATTAAAACAAACTGACAGTAGAGTCAGAAAAAGAAAGCTGTCTGTCATGATGTATTTAAGAGATCTGACCCACACACAGAAAACCATTCAGAGAAACCAGAGAAAAGTTTAACAGGTTTATTGTGGAGTTCAAAGGGTTGGATTTGGGAGAACTCAGAGAGCTGGTGAACTGGAACTGGAAGTGAGAAGAGAAGTTCACAAAGGGTTAGTTCAGGGTCCGTGGGAACTTTGAACGACATCTTGCAAACACAGAGATAAACGGGACTCACAATTGCGGAGAAAGGTTTCTTTCCTGAATCCAGTCGGTGTGGGTTTTTCCAGAGATTGAGGGGCTCGTTGGAGGGCGGACAAGTTTTTTGGTTTGGTTAGTTCTTGATGAGCAATGGAGCGGACTGCCACTTAGATTTCCTGGAGAACTTGAACGGGACGTGTGGAGATTAATCCCCTGCTCAGTGTGAAGCACAAACGATCCTTCCAGGGGGAGAAGGCCAAACATCCCAATGCAGGATGACTTCCTGCCAAAAGGCAAAAGACAGAAGTAACGTTAGACTCAGAGAAACAAAAACTCAGTTAGACTCAGCTAAACTCAGCTTGGCTAGAGTATGCAAAACTGGCAAACACTCTGGCGTCGAAGTAGTGGCAGTCCACCGCTTAAGAAGTCCTCAATAATGAGCCAACCAGCCGCAGGTGTGTTGGAGGACCAACGAGAACAGGGCGCCACCTGGTGGTGCAGGGGGAAAAACACAAAAACACAACCCACACAGACTGGATTCCTAACACTGTCGATATAAATAAAAGGAATTCCTCTTTTGTTTGTCACAGGCTATGGAGGGTACTCAGATAATGTGTGGGAGAAAGTGTTTTGTTCAGAGGAGACAAAAAATGTATCCTAACTCTGGAGGAGCTGCATAGATACATCATTCTGGTGTGTCTACCAGCTTTGTGCTTCACTAAACCAGGCCTTTCTGCAATAGTGGAGAGAACAAAGCCATTGTTTAATAAAGTTAGATAAAATCATATAATTTCATGGCTTTTAGCGCCATTCCCCCATATTGGTAAATATATATATTACCAATCGCTTCACAAGGCACTGTAAATGTTCCTTACAGTTTTCTTGAAGGGTCAGGCCATTCTTTCTGCTGCAGAAGATACATTTCAGCAAGGTTAATCTAACAAAGACTTTAGCCTCTCCCTGTTATCTCTTGCCTTTAAAACCTGTTTAGATTTCAGACACCTTTTCTGCTCTCATCCATGAAGTCAGGGACCCAAGTTGGTTATCGATCCACCGTTTTAGCATTTAATGCCTGGGCATTCAATGTATGTTTGTGCCTGTGCTAAGAATAAATGAGAGTGTGTACTCGTACACCTTTGTTTGTTGTCAGTGAAATTAGGAGCACACCCACACATAGCACACCAGCAAACCAGTGGTGACTGAGGATAATTAGGACCACTAATGAAATGCAGAAGGTGGAGTGTGTTTACCCCACAAATCCTGATAACCAATGCCCTTGAAGTCATCACAGGCTGAAAGGTGGCTATATGCAGTCTGATCAGCACAAAGAGAACTGCTCTATAAACCAAAACATTTAAAGAATGTGTTAGGTTGTAGGTTTTGACAAATGTGCTTGTAAACAGATCTTGTAACTGCATTGAAGGGAAACAAAGTTGCTGTTGTCCAGTTACACAAAACCCAGAAATATCTTAAATCTGATGAAAATAATAAAAGATAAAGATTATATGAAGATAAACAAATTAGAGTCATACATTGCTTCAACTGTACTTCAAGCAATTTATATATATATTAAAAAAAAAATAAACCTATTAAACAGGAACAACTAGACAAAAATGCAAACTATAATTATTTTAGACTTGCTTTAAAAAAAATCTCAATCTTTTATAACAATATATCCACATATGAATTTTAAGCTGATACTAAAACAGATGCTTCCGGTTACCAAGTGCATGTTCATCAGACTCTAACGTTAGACATTAACATTATATTAGAAAAGGAGGTTGTCAGCCCATCACAGAGCCAAGAAAGAGACAGACAACCTAATGGCAATTAAAAGTCACCCCTGGGAAAGGGGCAAGAGAACATGATAAAAACCTTGAAATGCACCAGGAGAACATCTAAACCTGATATACTGTAGAAGCACTCAAGTTCTGATTTTAAGATGTATTATTCTACCAGTGAGGTGAAAGTGCAAACCACTGCTCTGCTGTGCCACCTGGGGTCAGCAGGTAGCTTTTAAAATACTTTCAGAAAGACTAGAGAAATACCATGTTTTAGGTTGGGTTTTTTTTCTTCTTTTTTTCCCCACAATGTTATTTGCATCGGAAATATATTGAGTTTCTAAATTGATGTACACTCTTTCATATAAAGTAGCTGATATGGCATCGTGTTTTCACTTTTGGGCTTTAGATTATACAAAAGGGTTGCCTTTTAATGCCGTATTAATACTTTAATACTTTCTTAATTTATTGCTGAGTTGTTTTTGTTTTTTTTCTTTTCAGCAAAGAATCAAATTTATACCAACAGACTTGAATGCCCCCGTAAACTCCTGCAAGTATCTGGTACGGTGTCTATCATATTACTGCAAGTTAATGTTGTTTGTATAGCACAATTCAGTACAGAGACAATACAAAGAGCTTTAAATGAAAACAGTCAAATAAAATTAAAATAGAAGTACAATAAAAGCAAGTAAAGATAAAAACATGATGACAGCAGGTAGAAGAGCAAATAAAAAGTTGGACCACAACCTTAAACTAGTAATACATCAGTTAACAGTTTAACTTCAACAGTCAAAGGCAGTCAAACAAATGTTTTTTTTGTTTGTTTTTTACTTAACTTTAAAGAGCGCAGGCTTTCAGCACTTTTACAGTCTTCTGGGAGATGGTTCCAGATAAGTGGAGCATAGGAACTAAAGGCTGCTTCTCCATGTTTGGTTCTAGTTCTGGGTGGAAAGACTAGGCTTGAACAAGACCTGAGGGGTCTGAGAGGTTGATAAACTGATAAAAAAAAAAAAATAAAAAAATCTGTTATGTCTTGATGTGGCGATCCATTCAGTGAGTTATAGAATAACAGAAGGATTTTTAAGTCTATTCTCTTAGATACAAGAAGCCAGTGGAAGGACTTCAGAATTGGGGTTATGTGCTTTACTTTCGTAGTTCTAGTGAGATCACAGGCAGCAGAATCTTGGATCAGCTGCAGCTGTTTGATTGACTTTTTAGGCAAACCTATGAAGACACTGTAACAGTATTCAGGACATTCATCTACTAAGCTTAAGTAAGCTGAGTCAGCTCACATCTGGACAACTTTTAATGTCATGGTTAAAATCATAAAGAGCTCAAAGGTTACAGCTCACTGCTTGCTTTTTGTCTACTATCTGGAAAGCTCTGAATGTTTTTAGTTATCATTTAACCTGTCCGTAGCTCTGAAATAATTTGAACTCATCACTCATATTCTGCGTACCTTAAAATAGTCACTTTTGTCTTGCTTTTTTGTTGAAAAATAATTGATCAGTCATTTGATAAATAAAAATAAACACCCTTCCCATAAATATACTTCCAAAGTGTCTATACAATATACCTCTATGAATTTGTTTGAACCACAAAACGCACAGACTTTGGATTAAATTGATCAACTCCAACTGTAAGTCTTG